ATTCCCTCTATAAAAAGCATAAACACACTTTCAAATTCCTGACCATTGGTTGCGTGAATGCATTACATCGATCGACTGCACATCTGAGTGCTGGACGTCATCAGCTGGAGCTTTGTCATCCCCCCCTCGTGAAGAGGTTGGACTTCCAGGACTCATTTGACCAGCTCACAGGGGATATTTTAAGGCCTGAGTTGCCATGACACAGACGTCTCCTGCTTGCACAAAACCAATGCCAGCTCGTCACGTCTGGATCGGCTGAAGCCCACAGCCACAGCCTAACCTATCCAGAACACGGCTATGTATCTGCCACACTCACATGGATGCAATAATACATCCTGGATGTGAAACGAAGAACTAACGGGTGTGTGCATGAGCACACACACATTTTTAAATAAGAAGATTCTTGCATGTGTGTGCGTGTGTGATTTTAACAAAGCTGGTAGAGGTGCTGGTGGCAGAGAGTTAATCCTACCAGAACATCTCCGAGGGAATTAGCACAGTTATGTCAGACTACTGCTGCTTGGGTGTGACAATCTCCTCTTAATGCAACACTTAAAGCTGGCTGGCTTAAATGACACAGACAAAAAAAATGGCTGTGATTTGCAAACAGAGGTTTTCAGATCAGTCAAATAAGCTGCCAATCATTAAACTGTATATATAAATAAGCTAATGGGGTACTACACACGTATCCCTGGAGTTCTCTAGCAGAAGAAAGACCAGAAATCAGAAGTATACTGATCTTAAATTGGGAAAGCTTGATCAATCAGGACAGTGAGGCCTTCACAGAGGTTAAACACTTCCAAGGATTAAAAATTGATTGTGCATTATGGTTTATCTGTTACTTTAATTAGAGTTATCTAGTCATTTTAAGAACACTTTCAGTCATTACTTGACCTATAAAATGTTAGACAACACATTTTTCCAGAGTCTTTGTTCCCTTCAGTCATCTTGTGTCATCCAACTGGCTGTCCAAAAGCCAACAATATTAATTTCACAAAGATAAAAGACTAAATTTGATTAACTGACTATCAAAATAGGCTAAATAACTGCCTGCCAACAGACTCACTGACTAATCACTTTAGCTCTAATTAAAGCCAAAATTTAGCATGAATTCTCATGTCCTTTAGAGAAAGGATGATTTAATTGAAAGCAATTCAACACATTGTGTGGGATGTTTTTCTGCCTCCACTTAGACTCAACAACCTTTGAAGTGAGGGAGAGCGGTTCAGCTGTTCTGTGTCATAGAAAATGATAGGAAACGATTAGTGCGGACATTTTTCCCCCCCACAGGAGGAAATTGAATTGAGCTGGAAAACTACAAGGTCAGGAGGATAAAAATGTCAAATCCTGACATTCTGGACCAGTTTCAAGTCTTTACTGGGAGGAGGAAAAGAACTCCCTGGCAATTATCTGAGGGTCTTCTGACATCAGCTGTACCACTGTGTCAAACACCATAAGCTGTCCTGGCTCACCCTCAGCTGCAGGAGCACACAGAGCATTTTTTCCCCCTAAAGCTGAAATTAAATTCTTCTGACTGGTCATGTTAGTGCCTTAACTGCTACTATGAAAAGCCTTACGGGAAGCAGTGAACTTATTAGTCTCCTGCTTTATATCATAGTGATTGCAAGTATTAGTCACTGTTGTAAACAATGCACAAATGGAGACACCTTTACTGTGATTAAGAGCATTATCAAGCAGGTGTCATGCACGCCACTGCATCGATTAACACAGCTTGATTTTGTAGCATTACTCGTTAAAAAGGTGTGCAGAAAAGTAAATGTCCCGAGTAGGTGTAAAGAGGGCTTTCCACTTTTTGATGCATTTGAACAACACACAGCACACTTCTTTCTGCACCCACAAATTAAAAAATACAAATAAAAAAAACAAAACAAAAAAGCACTGCTTTTTAACACAAAGTGTCACAAAATGTCTATGTTGTGCATTTCCTAAGCAGAACACTGCACTGTAACAATAGTGTTATTTATTTAACCAGGGGTGTCAAATGAAAGGCCCTGGGTCCAGAATCAGCCATGTCAGACTCCAATTCGACCCACTGGAAGGTGTTGGAAAATGTGAACGAATGTATAGATTTTGAACTTTTACAGCTTTTCCTATGAATA